AGAAAATATTTTTACCAAATAAACCTATTTTTGTTATTTTTAAACTTTAAGCTAGTTCTGATAGTTTTTTTTTACTCTGTGATCGACTTATGATTTTATGCTTCGAAGACAGTTTGTTTGTTCCGTTGAACTCATGAACACTGAATAATGGTCAATAAACTAACGCTTAATCGCCTTTGCCTAGTTCAGTGGCTCCCAAAGTTGAGTGAGACAGCAAAAATCAGCTGTATAAAAAGTTATCATCTACTTAAATCAATTTTGTGAAGAGAATACGGCGTTACTATTAATGCGGCGTTAATACAAATGAAGGAATACCATAAACAAAAGATTAATAAAAAAATTCCATACGTATTTTAGGACTCCACTCAATATTACCGACTGATAGTTTGGGAATCACTGTCATCAATTTTTACATACTAAAACATATTTCGACTTTGCACGTAGTAATGTTATATTCAATCTGCATGCTTATACACTGGGATATTTCAATGAAAATACGTACAGTCAAGGATGATAATTTCCTACCCATTTCGAAGTGGCACTGGACGCTAACAATGCAATTAGGTTGAAATATTGTCATAGCAACACATGCGTGTTAATTTATAGCTCTTATGGCGACATGGTAAGATTAAGATCTTATGTGGGAAGGTAATTTAATTCTTTCACTGTACATACATATTCCTACTTCATATGTATTTAGAAATTTGGCATATGCCAATGCAAATGTTTGAATAAATTTACGTTTCCAATATTTTGTCTATGTCACACACTGATCTTTGGTAATCAATTACAAGTAAATGGGATAGCTTTATTTCTTAAGCCTTTTTTCATCCAATCGAATTTCAAATGACCGATATTTTTAAGTATTCATATTATTTAGTGAGACTACGATCTCAAGTCGTAGGTGAAGGTATACTGCGGTCATTAGTACGCATTAATCGAGTACATTTAAAGTTTAAAAAAAATCTTCCAAAGCTTTATTGTAATATATTTCTCGTGCTAACATATCTGTCGATAATGTAATGATTAGGAAACGGTACGAATTGTGCGTAAGTCGATTGCACTGCCAGTATATTCTAATAATTTGAAGCTTGCTCTTGGAGTATCTAGTGGATGACATGTCCACTAAATGAAGGATAGGATTGCCTCGAGCGGGTTGACAGCTGGGGTATTACACACATACATAAAGCCCGTCACACACGTACCTATAATATATATTAATATATTATAGCAAGGCATTTTACGATATATTATCATATTAATTTTTAAAAACGCTAGACCGATCAACGATGAAATGAAGGCAAAATATATATTATAGTATCGTCTCCGTGTGTGGTTGCTTACATATAGCACGGCTTATTAATATATATCATAGGTAAGTGTGTGACGGGCTTAACTGTACATATAGATGCTGTATAAATATGTATATTGTTAATGTATTTACGATTCTTATGGTACTGAGGAGCATCTGGTGTGGGAGTAGCTGCGGAAGGGACGGTGCCTGTGACCTAGACACCGATAATGTAGTTGCTCCATTTTCCCATCTGCATCCATGACTTTCTGTATGTGTGTCTTTGTTAAGGACACGGTTGTCTTAAATAGTTAAGACTATAATAAAAATAGTAACATCAGCGAGTGGTTTCTTTTTAATAAGTCACAAAATCCAGTCCATAAAATTCCCTTTTCCTAACTCCCGTCTTAATCCGGTCCGTAATCTTTGATAATATCAAGCTTATATGAATGAATAGATTTTTAATAATTCACTAAATGAGTTCTGAAAGGCTATTAAATCAATAATATCAATATTAAAATAGAAATTTGTTTTCCGAGTTTAAATTATATTACTATATGTTGAATTTGATTCATTGAACATTATACAAGTCGTTCGACATATTAATAAACTTTAATATTTGGTAATATAACTAGTTATTTCTATAGTTTTGAAGTATTTCTGTCAAGTAGCCTCATTAAATGTTTTAAGTTAATATTGAAACATCCCTCAACGATAGTTGGTACGGAAATAGCACACCGAGAACACAAGCTCGAAGTAACACTGTCATCCTTCTGTGGGTGAATTACCAAAAATTAAACATCTTTACTATTTTTCCATTTACCTTTCTTTCTGATTAATAAAAAAAAGCAATACAGTTCAATCTAAATGCAGATTTTCAATTTGTAGAAGTGTTCATTTAATATCATGTGTCCTGTGATGTAAAAAATAAGTATTTATTAATAGTATATTTACAACAGGGATGCGTTGGCTCCGTCGCCCACAAGATCCAGCAAAGCCTAGTCTTCCATGAGACGGTAAGTATCGCCGATTTTTAAATTAGGTAGACACATGGAGTTGATTTAACAATTATCGGAAGATTTATAAATAAGCAATTGCTAAAACCTACTAATATAAAAAAAAACTGAAGAACTGCAGATATTCTTTCAATTATGATTGTGATAACTACTGACAAAGGCGGGAATATTTAATTTAAAACACAGCACTCTCTTATTTTGACTTTATTGGATTAATATTATTCCAAAAGACTTAATATAAATGCTTAAATTGCAGGAGGCAATTACCACGGACTCGGAGTTAAAAAAATCGAACAAGTGTATACAAGCTACATGATAAGTACGGATTCACTTAGTTAAGGCGTCATCGCAATATACATTGAATATTGTAATTTAAAATGTAGGCAATTTTCGTAAAATAAATTAAAAAGATAAATAAAAATAGATAATGCCGTTTAATTTCACTTATGTGAGAATTATCTAGAACAACGGCACCGGCACTTTAGAATTAGAACGGCAAAGTAAAATAGATCTACAAAAAGGATATGAAAACACATCGAGTGGAGGACAATGGAATTAAAGTAACATTATGTTAACTACTTGTAGGACAACTTCCAATTTTGTTTTGTTACAAAGATACAAATTAAAATCAATGTTGGCAACACAGGCGTGACCTTATTATCTTATCATTTGTGTTGTGCTGATTTGTGCAATTTGATATCCTTAATTTTTTATCTTTTTGACGTTTTGCCACCCAAACTCCATACCATTCGCGTAAACATAAGACGATGAAAAAATATTAACAGTAATGTTATATTCTTTATTTATCAGTAAAATTACACTGTGTATATCTTTTCTCTTTAAGCTCTAAGACTTTTCAAAAAATGGAAGGAAAAGAGTTGAAAAGTTTGGACGAACTTATAAGGCAAAATCTTACGGGAGACGATTTATTGGAATTTAATAGAATACATTACGGAAGAAAAGACAATCATGAACTTGAGATTAAAAAAGAAAATATTCAATATGGAAGTAAAAATAATTTCGAAATATCATGTTATGACTTTCCCGCAAATAAAGAGGAATTAAGAAAACCCCGTATTGTTAAAGTTGGCTTGATCCAACATTCCATTGCGATACCGACGGATAAACCAATCATTGAACAAAGATCAGCAATATTTGAGAAAGTTAAAAAAATTATAGAAATTGCAGCAGATGAAGGTGTCAATGTTCTGTGTTTACAAGAAGCTTGGAGTATGCCATTTGCTTTTTGCACCCGCGAGAAGCAACCCTGGTGCGAGTTTGCTGAATCAGTCATAGAAGGCCCCAGTACATTGTTTCTTAAAGAATTAGCTTCTACTTATGGCATGGTAATAATATCACCTATACTTGAAAGAGATGAAACTCATAGTGACACTATATGGAATACAGCTGTTGTAATAAATGAAATGGGTAAAGTTATTGGGAAGCATAGAAAAAATCATATTCCTCGGGTGGGTGATTTCAATGAATCCACATATTACTTTGAAGGTAACACAGGACATCCGGTCTTTGAGACAACTTTTGGAAGAATAGCAATCAATATTTGTTATGGACGTCATCACCCTCTTAATTGGTTAATGTTTGGGGTGAATGGAGCTGAAATTGTCTTCAATCCTTCAGCTACCGTTGCAGGTCTGAGTGAACATTTGTGGGCTGTTGAAGCTCGTAATGCAGCTATTGCTAACAGTTATTTCACTTGTGCTATAAACAGAGTGGGTACAGAGAGTTTTCCAAATGAATTTACTTCTGGAGACGGCAAACCTGCACATAAAGAATTTGGTCACTTCTATGGCTCCAGTTATGTTACAGCACCAGATGGTTCCAGAACTCCGGGGCTATCAAGAGTCAAAGATGGTCTATTAATAGCCCAACTTGACCTTAATATGTGTCGGCAAATAAAAGATAAATGGGGCTTTTGCATGACACAGCGCTTAGACCTATATGCAAATTCTCTTAATGAAGCCATAAAACATGATTTTATACCACAGAGACTTCCTAAGAACTAACAAAATGAAATTTTATATCTTCATTTGATCAATTATTAAAGTTTTTAAGATTTTATTTACTAAATATGGCTACACAATTTTTACCTTTTATAAGATTTGATAAGTTTTTACCTTATATTTTTTTTGTACTTATTGTTGTCAAATTATGTAAAACTTTTGTCAATAAACAAAATTTTTATTTTGACCTGTTTAATAATAAAAAATGAGATGCCTAAATGATTAAATTATGATGGCATTTGAAGTTCACATGCACACCAAAATATTACATGCCAATGTTCTGTGAAAGACTTGGGTGAAAGATTTCTAATTATAAATACAGCTAACATAATAAACACTATTTGTTAATTAAAAACCTAACTGTCTATGCCTTTGGCACTTATCGAAAAATGAATCAAGCGAAACCTCACTAATTAAAATTGATTCTGACACAACACACAACACAAACTCACATCAGTGAACTCGGATATGCACAAGAAACTTTGGTAAAAAATTTCATTATTTCATTTAATTCTAACACTTCTTGATAAATTATAGTATGGGGATTGTGAACATGTTTATTAATATTTGTGTTTGATATGTTTATGTAAACAATACAATCAATAATATTTACATACTAAAGTCAATATTAATTTTAATTCCAGTTTATTTTCACAAAATAAAACAAATCTATATAAAAACAATGTGTATTCAAGAGTAATACAGATGTGATACTAATGTATTTATATGTATAATATAATAGTTATTGAGAAGGGGTACATTTACTTCAGGGACACCACAAGACAACTTCAAGCTCTAAAATAAATTCTGGATTGAACGGATTACCAACTATTCTTGTTAGTTGATCCAATTTCTATCATAAATACAGGAACAGCCACACTTATTACTTCATTTATTACAAAATTTACATGAAAACGAAATTTTTCTCTGTCCCACAACTCAGATTTTCAAAACATTAATGTACCACACAGTAATTGTTTTTAAATAATCTAGATAAAATATTTTATGCAATTTTTGCACGAATTGCAGCTCTCTTGCCAGTGACAGCCTGGAAACCAGATTTTATACTGGCCACAGAGCAACGTGAGCCACATGTCTCACACTGAAGGAAGAATAATCTGGTGTCCTTTTGCAAAATAGTATCAGGTGAGCGACAGGTGTGACAAGTTACATATTCCTTAATATACCGACGTAATACATTCTCTATTTGTTTCTGCTGGAAACGACCCTTGATAATCAACTGACTGTTACCATCAACAGACCCGCTGGTACCCAATTCAGCCAGTAAAAAGTCTAATAAATGTTTGGGCTGTCGGTGAAGGGTTTTGCAAATTTCTGTAAAGTTTGCAAATGATGTTTTTTTTGTTCCAATTCTTACAACTTGTGGTGGTCTCATAATGAACTTTTGTTTTTTACCAGAGACCATACCTGGGTTTTTCTCACGCATAATATCAAATACACGTTCAAGGAGTTCATCATATGTATAGTCTCGATCCGTGCTGACCCAATCACCATGTAAATCTTCAGCATTCTCTTGGTTCTCGTTATTTTCCTCTTCGGCAACTAGTTCGTCTAAGTTTTTCTTCCTTCTCTTTTTCTTTGTTTTTGAGAAATCTATCTCAAGATCCAGATCATCAACAAGGTCCTCCTCCTGGGGCTCTGGCTCTTCCGCAGGTGGTTTCTCCTCTGTGGTTTCTGGCAGTGCACTTTCCAACTCTTCCAAATTAAAAAATGTCTTCTTTTTTTTCTTCTTTTTCTTACCAAAATTATCTAAATCAAGATTTTCGTCCTCGGGCACGTCGACGTCACCCGACTCGACGGGTGCTTCAACAGATGTGCTTTCACCTTGTTCACTAGCCAAAGCTGCATCCATGTCGAAACCAGTCTTCTTTTTCTTTTTCTTCTTAAGAGATGGATCAAAAATCATATCGTCATCCATATTTACCACAATTTTATTGGATCTTTACAAAACTTGGTTATAATATTTTGGCAGGTGGCGAACTCAAAAATCAGTTTTGTGCTCTTGCATCAGCCGGCTAGGGACGTTCAGAATCGATTTACAACCAATCTGATCTTAAACCTTAAACCTAAATTATTTTTTTAAAAAGGCACGAAAAAAGATTAAAATATCCTTGTACAACGGTTTTATTTAATTTACAATAAAATCCTTACTATGAAGTATTATTTCTTAAATAAAGTTTTTTTTGTTAATTCGGATCTGATGAAAAGGAAAGTATAAATAATTAGTTTTATACTCTTTGGTCCTTAAAAAAACTGTCACTGTCAATTGGAATGGATATAACCTCAAATAATTTCACTGTCAAGCTGTTTATACGATGTTATTTTGCTCCTAAAATTATCATTTAAAAATGCATTTATCGAAATTAAATAGAAATATTCCGAAATTCCAATTGTGGACTAGAAGATATTCTCATGCAGTGCTACCCGACGAAAATGAATATACGGATACACCCGTGTATCCTCCAATTTTGGACATGTCGCTCCAAGGAAGAAAATTGCGAGAAAGACAATCCGTTCACGAGAAGATAAAAAAATTGAATACCGTCGAAGAAAAACAAATAGCACTAAACATGCCGCGGTATTATGGATGGAAATGCGTGATATTCAATGAAAATAGAGTACCATACAATGCTTTACCATTGGTCCAGTGTTACACCAGGACACATTTTAAACCTGTAAATTCCCTCCCGGACGCTTATTCCGATACAAATCCAATTGCAGAACAAGTTGTAAAGGAAACTAAATCAATAATTGAAGATATAATTGCCATTGAATCAGAAAGTGTTAGGTAATGATAATCTTTTTTTAAACTTTGTAATTTTATTCTAGAACAGTTTGGTCGAAAATCTTAAATATAGTACGTAAGTACATAAACAACCTAGTACAATGACAAACTTTAAATAGCTATATTTACATGTAGCTATTTGAAGTCTTGTTTTACTCATATAACAGATTTGTGTAGGTACATTCATAACAATTCACCAGAAAAATCAGAAGAGCAAATAAAAGAAGAGCACATCACAAAGAATATAGTGAGGCAAATCAACAGAGTTATCTGTAATAAACTTGCAGACAAGCTGCCACATATATTATCTGCACAAGTAAGTATAATTATTATTTTACACATAATAGTCATCACTGCTACTTGTGCACTACTACTGTCGAACCAGGATAAGTGAGTCATTGTATAGTCCCTATAGGCAACATTCATAAACAAGAAACTTGTGATAGAAAACTTGATAAACAAAAAAAAAATATTGTTGTCCCTTAGATTCTTGCTTATCCAGGTTCAACTGTAGTTCATATGGAAACACTATAGTATTTTATCCTTGATTTGCCTTTCTCATTTTAAATGAAATCATATTAATCTTGTTGCAGATTGATTATGAACCCAGACATGAAGCATTTTGGTTTGTTGGTGGTATTGATGTACCACATAATGTAATTCAATGGAGAAAACAATATAAATGGTTGCATGATCGCCTTGAAGAACCCATTGATAGACCAGTCCAGTTTATTGGTAATTTTATATCTTACTAATATCGAATGTGTGAATATTTAGATGGATGGATGGATGTTTGGTTGTGGGTACCTCCAGAATGGCTGAACAGATCTCGATGAAATATTTTTAGCCGTCATACATTAAAGTTAAACATATTCTGGAAAAACACATAGCCTAATATTTTTCTTTTAATTCCATGCTTAGTGAGTCGGGGGCGACTGCTGGTATTTATATAAAATTGTTGTTACATTCTAAAAAGAGTTTTAAAGTTTATACAATATATTTTCAGGAACACCACATCTAGCGGTAAGAAGTCAGTTGCCACTAAAGCCTATTGTGCCGTATGAAGAGGCTACAAACCCAGATTTTAAAGTCCCTAAATTCACCTATATACCTGAATCTGTTGGCTATTGCACAGAGTTCAGGCATGGAACTAATATCCCAGGTATTGAAAATTTTTAAATTAATCTTTGCCTTTTTCTTTTTTTATTTAACAGAAACAACAATACTGCCTGATCCACTGGTTTTATCAAATAGAAAGTTTTATACTGTTGATCTCATATTTTTTGTGGGTTTTTATATCAATAAATTTTATGTTACTGTTACAGGGTTTTGGCCTGGTGATAATGATGAATTTGGCTTATTGTCTTATCATGGCAGAGATCATATATTAAGTAGAAGAGAATCGTATGGGCAAGAAGATAACATTGATGCCTTACATTCACAAGCCTTGAAAGCTAGTTTTGGCTGGCTTCTTGCTCAAGCTAATTATCAAGGCTTCACTACGTACAATGATATAACATACCCACTTGTGACTCAAACCGTTATAACTAATGGCAAAGCATGGTCCTTCTACGTTTACCAAATGAATACTATCACTATGCATAATGAGCAAATGGATGAAAATCCAAAACACAATATATGCTTTGGTACAACACCTCTACAGTTATATGATACAATAGAAAATGGTCAAGTGAAAGGTTTGAATAAAGATGTCTTGAAAATGTTAGTTCAGTTTTACTTGAATGCACCAGAGGAGCGGGAACATGACATGAAACCTTACTTGGGTAAAGATGAGCAACTTATTGCTGATATTGAAGATGATAATAAGCGTTGTTGGCTGGAATCTAGATACAAACATCTTGTTTCAAATAGACCGAAACATAACTTAATGCCAGAAACATATTTGTGGGAAAGGATTTACAAAATTCAACATAAAACGAGATTCTTTGAAGCGAAGAGGCGGTTCTTCGAACGCAATATTAATCCATACAAAAGGCGATTGAATGAACATTTGCCGCCTTATATTCCCAAAGTTCTCAGGGAATATCCTAGATCTAAAAAGAATTTCGAACGTACTTATTATCCTGATGTTTAAATAGAATATTTGTATGAAATAATAAAATCTAAATAGTAATAGTAATATTAATTTATATGTTTTGTTTCATTTTATATTAATTTTTCCATCCAGTAATATGATACAAAATTTTATCATTTTTTCTTAGGAAAGTTGGCATATAAAAAGTCTCAATGTTTTTAAAAATTACAGTCTTATTTTACACATCTATATTATTTTAAGTTACACTGCATGATGGTAAAAAAAGTTGTTTTTGATTTGTTTTTATGTAGTTGTGTTTGATGGCGACCAAAAAGCATTGGCGCATTCCGCAGTGCCTTGTCCTTACATACCGCGCATCAACTCACAAGAAGTTAAAAACTGCCAAGATATTTGAAATTATTTATACACAAATATCTCGAAATCGATTTACGCGGATTCATTTTCGCTTAATCGATTTTAAGAGGCATAGTGATTAATCACATTCATGTATAACCAAAGAGTATAATAAGTATACTATAGTATACTATATGTGTATAACCTTTGTCACATTATTCTAAAAATGACATAAAGAAGTCTGCTCTTTGCAGCAAAGCTTTTATTTACACTTTTACAGCATTGTTCTTGTTCAATATTATTTTATTTCGCCAACAATAATCAGCTATGAAGAATTTAGATCTTTGGGAAGTAAATACAAGAGGTATCAACATTAACTCAAAAGAAAAGTTCCATATATGTTACAATTATGATGGAGAAAATAAAGTTAAATTTTTTGCCGTCACACATAACCTACAAGTATCAAATATTGATGAATTTGGAGCCATTAATTGGACAAAAGACATTTCTGAAATAACTAACTGTAAAAATATTCCTGTAAATATAACATACATCTCATTATCAAATCAGCTATGCATTGCATTAGCAAATGGGGAGCTAATTACAATTGACGAATCTGGAAGTGATTATGAACTAGTGGGAGTTTTTGAAAATGGATTGGTGGTAAGTATTGTTTTTATTTTAACTTTGTGATGTGGAACGGTCTGTTCTCTGCGGTATTGTAAAGTGCGCCTTAGGGCCCATATGAAGCAAGCGTGTCTTTCTTAACAGGCTGCAAGGAATTTGAAGTTTCTGAAGCTCATCTCAGTATGCCCGACGCTCTTAATTCTATAAAGAAATTAATAAAAAGTTTCATTTTGTATTAGTTTTGTAAGTCTTTATGGTCAACAACCATTACAATATTTATGTTTATTTTCAGGCCATGGAGTGGAGTCCAGACCAAGACATACTAGTTTTAGTCACCAACGATTTAAAAATGATAACAATGTCATGTACATTTGACCCTATATCTGAAGTGGAATTGTTGAGTGACGATTTTGGAAAGAAGGAATTTATAACTGTGGGCTGGGGCAAAAAAGAAACCCAATTTCATGGTTCAGTAGGAAAGCAAGCTGCTAAACAGAAATTGGAATTTTCAAATGAAAATGAAAGTATAAATTCATCTGTCAAAATTTCATGGCGAGGTGATGGTAATTTATTTGCTGTTGGTTTTGCAATGAATGGTTTGAGGAGATTCAAAGTATTTGATAGAGATGGAAATTTACAGTACACAAGTGAAAAACAACCTGGACTTGAATCTAATCTAACATGGCGTCCATCAGGAAATCTGATAGCTACAACGCAAAAGATGAATGAAAATTATGTTGTAGCATTCTTTGAAAAAAATGGTTTGAAACATGGTGAGTTCAAAATTCCAGTCAACACCAAGACCATTGTGGAAGATCTCTATTGGAGTCCAGATTCGGAAATATTAACTTTGAGCTGCAAAGACTTAGAAGATAACACACAGAAGATACTTCTCTTCACTTCAAGCAATTACCATTGGTACCAAAAGCAGATTTTAATATTTCATGACGAAGAAAGAATTAATGAAATCTTTTGGGACAACAACTTTGATGTTGCAAATAATAAAAAACTACATATTGTTTTACAGAATGGTAAACATTATATTTATTCTTGGATTTGGTCAATCAGTCACAGTCGAGGTATGAGTAGTGAAGATAATGCCATGGTTGCTGTTATTGATGGCCATAAATTATTAATGACAGGTTTTAGGCAGACTGTTGTTCCACCACCTATGGCCAGTCTGGTATTAGAATTGGATTCTGATATACATTCAGTTCATTTTGCACCACCTCATACACAAAGTAATTGTATGACAAACTCTTTCTTCGTAAATACGGAAGAGAAAATAATATTTTTCGAACAAACACAGAAGTTCCCTATACAGTATAAATCTGTAAAGACTATCACTAAAGATGCGCATAGTTTTCCTTTTCAAATTTACAATTGGCACTGGTTAAATTGCAATACAATAGTTGCTGTAAAAGTTGACGAGTTAAACTACAATTTGATTGAATATGATTTAAGTAACGAAGTACTTACACAACGCAAGATTGTGCCGCTACCGTCACCAGTTGTTCGTCTTCACAGCGATCCAATTGATCCGTCATCTATATTTCTCCAATTGAAAACTGGTGATATTATGAAGTACAGTTCCGGAAAAAATGTTACTGTCCAAGATATATCTTTCAAAACATCTTGTAGTAAATTTGATGTTGTATTAATAGAAAATAAGTTACACTTTTTGGGTCTTTCACAGAAAGGAAATTTATATATTGATGATGTGAGTGTACTAAACAATGTCAGTTCATATTTTGTACATACAAGTTTCCTTCTTATAACAACATTGCAACATTATCTTCTTTGTACTGAATTATCAGAAACTGGACTCGAAGCGATAACAGAATATCAGAAAAATAATTCTCCACAAGTTTATAAACGAAAGATCGAAAGGGGTGCAAAATTAGTTATATCTGTACCAAATGCGACTAATACAATATTTCAAATGCCTAGAGGTAATTTAGAAACAATTCAACCTCGTCCATTGTCTTTGAAAATAATTGGAGAACAACTCGATTCACTGGATTATGGAAAAGCATTTGATTTAATGAGGAAACAAAGGATCAATCTTAATTTAATACATGACCATAATCCTAAGTTATTCCTTGACAATATAGATAAATTCTTAGATTCTATTAAAAACACATCTTGGCTATGTCTTTTTCTATCAGATTTAGAAAACTCTGATGTTACTAAAACTATGTATAAAAGTAGTTACAAAAGTAATGTCAACAATGAAAATTATATGAAAATCCAAGAGATATGTGACATTATACAAACACAAATAAACAAAAGAAGTGATAGGAATGATAAAATATTACCATTACTAACAACTTATATAAAGAAAAATACAATTGAAGACTTAGAAAAGGCTTTATTAATAATAAAAGAAATAAAAGTTCAGGAAATGGGTAACCATAAATTAGCTGTAGGATCTGATGAAGCAATAAGGTTTCTCTTATACATGGTTAATGTTGATGAACTTTTTAATGTTGCACTCGGTATGTACGATTTCGATTTAGTATTGCTAGTTGCAAATAAATCACAAAAAGACCCAAAGGAATATATTCCAATGTTAAATGAATTAAATGGTATGGATGATAATTATAAGAAATTTTCAATAAATAAATATCTAAAGAGATTTGACAAAGCAGTTAAGTACCTTATTAAATGTGGTAGTGATAAACATGAAGAGTTGAAAGCATTTGTTAAATATCACAGCCTTTATAAAGATGCATTGTCACTGTTAAATGAAAATGAAGATATTTACAAAGAAATAGCCGATGATTTTGGTCTTTATTTAAAGTTAAAAAAGGACTTTGTTGAAGCCGGTGTTGTATATGAAAGATCTAAAAATTATGTAAAAGCTATTGATTGTTATAAAGAAGCTTCAGAATGGGAATTAGCTTTAAGTGTAGCACAATATCTTACTGAAGATCAAAGGTTAGAAACATGTAGGTAAGTAAATTAAGTATTAAGTAGTCAAAAAATTTGAAGTGTTAAGTAAAAACAGGTAGACTATTAATGATTTTTTTTAATTCAGATATCTAGTGAATGCTTTGAAAGATGAAAAACGTCATAAAGAAGCATTAATCATATTAGAACAACATTTGCAAAATGGGGTAGATTCAATAATATATGCCATAGAGAATGGTCAATATAAAACGGCGATACAACTGTGCTCTAAATACAACAGACCAGACTTAAGAGGTTAGTTATATTTTATGTTACGTAATGTTAACATTTTCAGTGCCACAGACATGTTTGACACTCACTTTCATATGTAGAAGTGGCATGGAATGTATTAAACTTGTTTTTATTATATATTTTTTTCAGATCAACGTCTTATGCCTGCAATATTAGAAGAGTATCAGAATCTCAAAGCTTTAATTGAAAATAATTTGAAAGATTTTATAAAACATAGAACACGATTGTCGGAAGTGAGAGAGAATAAGCTAAATAAAGCTGATTGTATGTATGATGCATTTAATACAAATAAAGACGACGATTTGTATTCGGATGCGGGTAGTACTATAGCATCATCCGGCTCTGGGTATGTTTAATATTGTTTTTATGAAAATCGACACATTTAATATTCAAAAATTATAGTGGCATTGTATGTGTTTATAGAAAACTAGTAAGATTGTGTAGTATGTTATATGATAAGTCATTTGAAGTGTTATGTTTAAAAGTACAAATCTCAATAACATGGTTATAGGTTCAATTCCTGCTATTTTACTATTGTCATGAATGCAAGCCTTCCTAGTACAAGCCTTAACGAAAACTTTATACCAATTAAATTCCATGTATATATTATTAATTTATTCTTGTTTGTTACATTATTTACCAAGTCCCTTTATATAATTGTTATGGTACATTTCAGGAGATCTTTCCGATCTAGTAAGAACAGAAGAAAACATCAGAGGAAAGTCGCGTCATTGAAGGAAGGTTCACAATACGAGGATGTAGCACTTATAATGACACTCCACAGTCTTGTTACAGCGTCATTTAACTTGAGGTTGCAAGTTAAAGATGTCAATATTACATTGAATGTTTTTAACAAAGACAAAATGGCTTCTGAATTACAGGTATTTCATAACTAAATACTATACTATTACTAGCTGTCGCCCGCGACTCCGTCCGCGCGGGATTAAAAATAGATGTTGGCCGATTCTCAGACCTACTCAATATGCTCACAAAATTTCATGAGAATCGGTCAAGCCGTTTCGGAGGAGTATGGGAACGAAAATTGTGACACAAGAATTTTATATATAAGATACTATTATAAGTAAAAAATGTTTGCTTTGAGTAAACTTAAGATTGGACCAATGTCAGAAATAGCTTAATGTGGACCTTCTCCCAACCATTGAGCATAATCTAAATTAAAGGTGACTAGGACTTAGTTGTTTATCATTTGTTAGCCCAGTGCGGATTGGTAATTTAAAAACATAATTGGATGCAATTTTATTTTAGAGAAATTTGGACAATCTACTTAATGAGATGAAGGGTCACTTCAAAGAAATATGGACAAATGATCTTGTGTTACAAGCTACCAAAGCTGCAATAGATGCTGAAAATATACCGGAGGGATCTAGTATGATAGCTGATAGCTTATCATTCCTTGGTAATTGTACAAATATATGTCTAAACCTTTTATGTAATACAAGCGGTAGCACGCGAAAAAAACTTAATAAGTAGCCAATGTGGTCATTCAGAGTATATCTATATATGTGCCAAATTTCACCAAGATCTGTTGAGTCGTTCCGAAGATACCTTCTAACGAACAACCATATATACTTTTCCATTTATAATATGAGTAAGATATGTAAAATGTATACCTTTATATATATAATTATATTTCAGAGCCTCATGTAAGAATAGCACCAGTTATTCAAGATATAAGCTGGAAACTAGAAGGCCTAAGCTAAGCTGAATAATTTTTAACAAGGTATGTATTTATAAAAAAAAAAAAGTTTTGCAATAAATAAATTATATTAAGAGAAAAGCGTTTTCATTATCCTAACAATATTTAATGTAACATTTAGATGAACAAAAGTAACATTCAAATTTCACACTTCTATTATAATCAAAAACAACAACTCTAAAATAATCCTTGGGATCAAACTCACGGATTATATATTCATTATTAACAACAGGATTTCCACAGACGCACATTTTAGCGTTATCAAGAAATTCCGCCAAAGTCCAAGGTATGATGTTAGGTGCGTAAAATAGTTTATTTTTCAAAACTGCCTTTGAAGCTAGATTTGTAAGGCTGTAAATATAAAGTTCCCAGCCATTGCTTGTTGTATTCTTTTGGTTTCTTACATCAGTAACTAAATGGAAGTTATTTGATGACAAATCTAAATGTTCCAAGCGACATTGCATTAAACTACAAGGCAATGTTTCCAGTTGATTCTTTGATATGTCTAGATATCTGAAAGAGAAAGAGAAAAATTATTTAAAAAATGAAGGTAATAATCCAGAAAAAAAAAATTCACTCCCCTCCTAATTTGTACATAGGACAGAAAAACAAATGCTGGCAAGTTTATAATTAAAATTATAATGGCAATTAATGAGTTAAATAAAAAAACTTATTACCTTAAAGTTTGTATTCTTCCAATGGTTGCTGGTACCTTAACAATTTCATTATCATTTATTTTCAATGTGACTAATTTTTCCAATTTCCAAATTGCTTTTGGTATATATTTTATTTTATTATTACTAATATCCAGTAACTTTAATGTCTTAATTATCTGAAATGAAATATAATGTTTTTGAAAAAATTAAAATCATCTTCAAAGACAGAAAGAGATAAGGCAGGCAGTAATTGGATATTTTTGACTTATAATGGCAATTTTTAAATTATAAGGATCATGCTATGTGCTTCACTTACTTGTGGACCAAAAAGCCATCTCCAGTCCATATCACCATTTTTGCCTAGAGCATTCTTCGAAAGATACAACTCCCTTAGATTTTTCATTCTACCTGTAAAAAATATTCAGTGAAAAAGATATACATAAAACTTAATAAATTGTTAGTAAAAAAAATATTCATACCAAACTCTAACGGCAATTTTTCTATTTCATTATTACTTAAATCTAAGATCAACAAGTGACTTAAAAGTAAAATATCTCTTCGAAAATTACATAGTTTTAGATCAGTCATGGACAGGTATTCTAGTGTCCGTGGGAAACCTTTTATAGGTATGTCACTTCTGGATTGTATTGTCATTTTTACAGGTGCAATATCTGACGAAACCACACTTAAGTTTGATAAGTTACTCAATTGGGCATCTTTGTCTCCAGTTATGCACGTCTTTAATAATCGTAAAAAGCATTTCAGCTGAATTACTTCACTTTTGATACACAAATCATGAGGTGGCTCCTCAAATCTTAACGTAGCTTTTCCTTCGTTTAAACACTTAACAAACACTTGTTTGATGTTCTTAATTTTATATTTGTTACCACTTTTATTTACAGAAGAGAAGTGAATAAGAAAAAAGTCTTTGTCTCGTTTTGGTTCCTTTCCTAATGCTAGTGTTGATTTTGAGTATTTTTTGTTTGAACCTATATTTACATTACAGTGATGTCTGTTAACAACTTCAACTTGACACACTAACTTCATTTTAAATAATCTTCAAGTTATTAATTGTAATTTATAACTAAAACATTTATTTATTTCTTAAAATATCATTACAAAAAAAAATGTTAACCGCCAATTTTAATTAGTGTCATTGTCACTGTCATCACAATAGTTTCAATTTTTTTAATTTTATGACCTGGTAACATATCGTATTGACATCGACATCGGTCAAATAGTAAACTATTAAGATTTGAATTTGAGATACTGCATTTCATGTTTTATCTGGATTTGTCCAAGTAAGCTTTCCTTCTACTATTAAGCTTTTTATCAATTATACATCAAAAATATAAGGAGGCCTTTCGTAGACAAGGAAACGTAAATCATTGGAAACCGTCGATTTTTGTTGTTAGGCGACTACGCAAAACAATTTCAGATATCAGCGTGCATCGCCAACATTTCTATCTGTAGTCTCCAAAAACAGTCAATCACAATATGTTTGTCTATCTTCGTGAAATGTTGTGAGGTGGAAAAAAGCCAAACACGATTCTCGTGAGGCAACCACACAATGTTAGTTTCGACGATTTACATTGCCTTAGAAGGGCCTTAGTAAATACTTATTGAATTGTAAATTATTGAAAATTAGTAAAACAACTAGTTTTTGCTAAAGTTATTAATTTGAAAATTATCTATGTTGCAATGTGGTATTCTGTTACAAGAATTTCAATTTTTGTCTTTTATACTCTTTGCTTTCAATATAAAAGAAAGGTACTGAAAAAGACTTGTAAATTTTACACATTTGGTAGATTTATGGCAGTTAAATTTGTGACAGATCATTAATTTTATTTAGGGCACCTTAAATTTGTGTTTCAAAAATAAAATATAGCAACTTATTTATCATGTTATATAGTTTAAAAACTAAATTGTTCTAACTTAAAAAATCAAATTATTTTTAAATTATGCTATTATTAAAAATATAAACAATTTTGATGCTTAGAATACGGTTTTTGTTGTATCATTATTGCGTTACGTATAATATTACGTAGTCAAAAAATTTACAAGTTATTGAGTAATTGCTTAAAAAAATATTAAAATTTGAGCATTAAATTAATATTTAAATCCATTAAAGCATTTAAATGGAGCAATTATTTACGTATTTTATTAATTAAGAAAATGTTTAGCAAATAAACATAAAATTGACGTAATTCCAAGCAGGGCATTCAAGTTACGGTAAATAATTGATCAATACGGGTAGACACGACAAAATATTAAAATTGAGTCATTCTAACATTTACACAAAAAGCTAACAAATACAACTCCTATTTGTTATTTTAAAGCGGAGAAGAAATCAATTGGAACGTACTCACCAAAGTTGATATTATAAAACTTGATCACACCGTCACATCGCGTCTTACTTACGTATATTATACGAAACACCGAAAACAAAGGATTAATTTGTCCTTTTAAACAAGGAAGTTACAATTTCCAAAAAATATATTTCTGATCGTATGACTAGCCAATTAAAGAAATAACAATGGAAACACTTCGTATCAGGATGTACAAACAAGGACGTGGGAGTTTCACTATCCCACTTCTGATCTTAAGGATCAGAAGCAGGCAGAAAATTAAAAAAAACAATCTCTTATACACTACAACAGTACTTTTTGAATTAATAAGAAAACTAACATAATTGAATAAATGTAATTAACACTAAAATGATTTAAAAATACAACATTAACTTAATCAACTATCAGAGTTAAAATGATTAATTATTTTGGCTAGTCAAACGGGCAGAGCTTCCGCTGGCTTCAGTGTTCGGTGGCGAGTGTGTCCCGAAAATGAGGGTGCGGTCTCTTATATTGGCATCACCTCACCATGTCGGAGGAAGCCATTGAGATTATATTTAAAGTAGGAAGTTATAAAGTAGCCATTGTCAACTGAATTACTGTTTAACGCATAGTGTGCAATGTTTAATGTTTATTGATATTCTAAAAGCTTCTAATAACTTTTAATTTGATCTTACTTTTTAAGTTACGTTTTTCCTAGACTAAATAACATTATTATCGTAATTTAAGTAACGACCAATCTGAGCAGAGCACCTGGCTTGAGAGGGGTCGAGGCACCATATTTATATAAGACGTTTTGACAGTTGTTACGAATATAGTCGTGAAGTGGAGACGGATCGAGTTGGGTCATCGTGTTTTGTGCTTGCACTTTGTCGTTGAGAAAAGTGTTTCTCCGACTGTTTCTGCGGCAGTTGAGTTTACTACGGAAAGTGACTGTCGGCGGACGATGGGTCAACACCTTACCAGCCGAGGCACGGCAGCAGAACACTTCTGCTGTGGGTGCCTACTGGAACGGACATTGAACCATCGTGAAAAGTGCACCATGAACCCTTCTGCACGGAGGGAGGCCGCCCTCGGCGGGCAATGGAGTTCGCTACCACCGTCGCCGCCGCCGCCGCCACCGCCGCCGCCGCCGCCGCCTTTCACTTTTTAACCTTTTAATTTTACATTTTTTAATTGTTTTAATGTTTTTTAACCTAGATGTAAGAAACACTTAAAAACTTTTAAACACTTAAAATAAAGAAATAGAGATATTCCCG